TGTTTCAATCTCAGTCTCCTATGTGTGGGTTATTTGCGTATCAAATTATATAACTGCAGTATCAGTCTATTTGGAAGACTGATAGATTTATAGACAAAATATAATTATTTTTTCCGATTATGAAAATAAAAGTTTGAGATGGATTTTAATGAAAAAAAAGACAGTAATTTCCTGTATATAGATATACGATATTTTTAATATCTTACAGGTTATTTAGGAAGAAAAAACCTTAGTCTATAGCAGATTCGTCTAAAACGTACAGTTAAATTAACGGAAAAATTAGTAATAATGATGTGAATGTGATAATACTAATGAAATAGCAATAATGCTTTCGAAATATTTTTTTTATTGCAATACGAATGCACTGTTAATATAGAGGTACAAAATTCTTCCTTATAGGAAGAATTTATGTAATATACAATAATTCACATTATTCTTCACTTATGCTGTCTCAATTTCGGATTTTTTTTTCACCTCCTTAACCTCATTTTTATTATTTATAATTATATATTCTCGACTTTTAAGTTTACTTAACATATTTTAGTTCATTTCCAAACGGCATCTTTTCTGCCAAAACAATTATTTTATATATTTTCTTTAAGTTACTAAAACTACTGTCTTATCCCAGACTGACAAAAGCTCGTCAGTTGGTACCTACCCAGATGTTTAAGTTTAATATGTTTATTATGCATCTAAACGAATGTGCGAAACATTTTTCTGCAGATAAAAATGTTTCTTGACCTGATCTAACCTCGGAAATGATCCCGAGTGAGGTCACATTCGCTGTGAGAGGCTCGTTTGAGGATAGCTCCATATAACCCATACTGGAGAGGAGCTCCACTCTGTTTGACCTGTGTTGGTGATTCCCTCGTCTATTATCCGGGTTTTGTGTGTAAAACGTCGCTTAACAGAGACTGTGATTCAAATGTATTGTCGACAGTAATGAAGAAAACTCACACGTTGCAGACCAGGCTTTTATTAGACAACGTTTCGTTCTGTGTAGAGCTTTATCAAGCTTTATCAAGCTCTACAACGTTTCACTGTAGAGCTTTATTAAGCTCTACAGTGTTTCGCTGTTCAGAGCGAAACGTTGTCTGCCTCATACATAATATGCTTCTCAAACAAGAGAGAAATTTTGTAATGCAAATATTTCTTAAGCCATTTTTAATTCAGTTTATCATCACACGAACCAAGTAACTGAAGACTTAACCTTGCTAAAATTTACCTAATAAACAATAAATTAATTAACTTCACCTATATAAGAATTCTGTGACGTGTCTTTTCTTCACAAGATAGAGTATGGAATAAGTGTGTCTGTGTCAACACGCTGTAAAATCTTACGCTCACACATGAAATAAAAAACGCACATTACACGATTGATGTTTTATATCTTCACCCCAAAATTCTTCAGAATGTCTATCTTCCCCCCAAAATTCTTCAGAATGTCTATCGAGAACTTTGACTGTTACCCATATATTATTTATGCATCAGGACGCATAAATAATTATAACACCGTGTGCGTATTTCCGTATATGCGGGTCTTAGTATGGAAGTGCATATGTATACATGAAAAATGTCACCTCTACGCAATGAGGGACAATTAGTATGGCATCTGTGTGGTCCCCTGTCAGTGAACCTGTTCCATTTGACTGTCGTGTCTGGCACTGTTTTGTGTTGGCATGTTGCTGGTGTGTGCTGTAAGAATCCGCTCTCAGACCAGCACACAACCACTCACACCTCCTTCACCGTCTTTCTCCCCAACAGAAGGCAAAAGCAGCTGAGGTACTTGCTAGACAACAGGCTGTGGAAGTATGTTCTTGGTGTTCATTACTAACTGCATGCGGGGAACCTAACTGGCAATAAATTAATGGGCATACTGGATTCATAATTTTGTATAACTCATATTGGATTCATAATTTTGTACAACTTACTTGAAATACAAAAAAAAAAAAAGTCAATTGCAGAAGATAATTTTTGCACTATACTCTACTGTAATGTTTATGGTTTTTTTTTGTATATTATATATATATATATATTAATATATATATATATTTTTATATATATATTATATATAATATATATTATATATAATATATATATATATATTATATATATATTCACGTAGCTTTCATTGATACTTGATATAAGTTGTTACTGAAGAATTAAAGCTAGTTACAAGTTGTGGAGAGGCTTTCCGAGCCAGAAGGACGTGAGGACCTCCAGCCCCAACCTACCTTCACGTTGATGTCACCTGACGTCATATGAGGTCATGTGACTCGACGTGAGGTCACAAAAGAGGTCGTGCCAGCACCCCGAGTTTGGTAATCACCACACGCCCACCCACGCCCATAGAGTCATCTCTCAAACCCTGTGACGTTTCTCATCCATACAGCTGATCCTAAATTATTATCTCAGTCTCTGTCACGGAGCAAGCGTAACACCCGTGCCATAGAACGTGCATAACAATATCTCGTATCAGCTGACCCAGTTAGGATATTATTAACTCCTACCCGTGTCAGGGAGCGAGCATAATATCAATAAGCTGGCCACTATCCTCTCAAGTAATTATCTCAGACCCTAGTGCAACGGAGCAAGAATAACACCGGTGCTGGGAACGAGCATAACAGTGTCAGCTGATCCGTGTTTTCTTAAGCCAGTGTCAGGGAATAGAAAACAGCATCAATCAGTTGATTATCTCCCCTGGAGTATGATAGTATCAATCAGCTAATTACTTCACCCATGACTGAGTATAACAGCACTGATTAACTGATTACTATGCCGTAAGACAAGCATAACAGTATCAGTTAACTGATTATCTCTTCCTGGACAGCTAAACGGCTTTAGCTGATTACAGTTTCCTGGAACGAATATAACAGTACAGTCAGCTGATTACCCGTCCTGGAACGATCATAATGGCCTTAATCAGTTTATTAATCTGCCCTGGAAAAGACATAACAGCAGTAGTCAGCTGGCATTAGAGAACTGGATCAGCTGAGGCGGACGATGGTGGCCCAAAAGAGATGAGATTCGTATCCGAGGTTCATATCCAGGGTGGTCAGGAGAGGCTCAATGTGCAGTGTGGTCGGGCCACAACTCCTACCCCAGTGGCCCACCGGCGATGGACGGCATAGGGGCTCACTAGCACCATACTCACCCCAACCATCTTTTACCCCATCCAACGTGTGGAATGATATTAAAATTTATCTTCCATGTTTGCCTGTCAACTTCTTTCATAACTCACAAAATATTTATTTTTCTCCCGTTCTCCTTCTTAAATATTTTTTCATTTTCTAGTTTTGAACTTCAGTATTCCAAATAATTCTATTTCTTCCTTGGCCAGACTCAACGAAATTCCCCCAAGTTTTCAATAAATAATTCAAATGTGTATAATGAATGTAGTGTGATAGATGGTTAAGCATTTTCTGCTCTTCGGTGAGATGGTCAGCCCCTCAGCCCTCCGTTAGTGTTGAGGGCTGTGTTGAGGGCTCCAGTGGACAGCCTTCACACTTAGCCCCCAGCACTCTTTGGGAGACTGGAGGTCAGGCCGCCACCCAGCGCCCACTGCCAGTTAAATACTCATTCTGCGAGTTCCCTTAAGGTTTCTAGCCACGAATGCAACTTGGACAGTCATTCACAACTAACTCGCAAAGTAGATATGAAAAATAGATCATTCCGGTCCGTCCTAGACCATGAAACGATCCAGGACGACCCGAAATGTTTTCTAATTTTCATGTCCAATTTGTGGGTTACTTGTAGATTGTTTCAGCATTCCAGCCTGTATACTTAGTGAAATATAATTAGTTATTAGTCGTAATATTATTATTGATCGTTATCAGTAAAAAGAATCCTAGTTTACATTTTTGTTACTTGGGTATTTAAATGGTATGAAAAGCGTACTATCACGTCTAAAGAGGTAATATTATTTTAACGGGTGAACTGGCAAGTCAGCTGAGGGATATTGTCAAATGACCAGAACCTCCACGGAGTCAACAGAACCTCCACAGAGTCAACACATGTTTAAGATATCCCTTGCATTGTTTTCAATGTCTCGACAAAGTGACAACACCTAAACTATTGAACTTTGTTCTTCATATAGTTCTTTAAACTGCAATCCTTAATTAATTCTTTCCATGTTTGTACTTTATTTTTTGCATTCTGAATCGGGATACTTTTTCCTACTTCAAATTCTCATAATTTCAGTCTCAATTCATTAAACAAAATATACAAAACAGCAGTTTTTTTCGAAAAAGTAATGATTACCTCATTTTCTAATTTAGCAAAAAAAAATTAAATGTATATTTTAATGAGAGTTAGACATAAGCACTGATACCTCAAATAATAATATAAATTTTAAGGGATGCAGGTTTGAGATTTTTGACAATATCAAGACAGCAGCAGCAACAGTGTGTGGCGGCCTGATGTTAGCCTTATTATTAGTTTAGATAGTCTCCCACCAAAAATAACTAAAAAAAAAAAAAAGATTTAATCTCGTTTTAAACATTTTATTCTTGACGTTTGTTTCTTTATTTCTGCACGGTTTTACTTCACAAATTATTTTTTGTGATAAATATATTTTTCCTCCCCCTAATTAAGGTCCTGTGATCAAACTACCGTATTCCTTATCACTCCTTCCTTATTACACCCTCAATAATTTCATAACATTGCCTCCTTAATTTTGCTATGACTGTTATCAAGTTATTATCACTAATTATTTATTTTCTTTAAAATTACTTATAATCTTCAAACCCTCCCATTATTTTTCCATTTGCACAAACACGAAGTAACAAGAGTCACTTTCTCTGATAAATATATAGAACCGCAGATAAAAGAAACAGTAAAGTGCATTTTAATCTGTCGTTAGTAACCGACTGTCAGAAATAAAAGAGAAGTTAAACTAATAAATTTATATTGAATGAAATAAAGAACTGTAACTATGACTCAGTCTGTTTTTACACAACATAAAAGATTAAACAATTCAGTAAATATAGCTAATAGATATTTTACCCCTGTTAGGGTTTCATTGAGCTATATATATAGCATATATATACACAACAGTCAAAGGGGCCTGAAAAGTTACACTAAACCCTATCTTAGGTATTAAAGTATTCTTGATTGGTTGTGAACCGGTGATATGAATACTTAATTAGCAGTCAGGTTCATTCAGAACCCCAAACATGCACACACATACATATAGCAGCCACAGGCAGACGCTGACCTTGTGTGACTTCCCGTAGGAAGCCAAGAAGAAGCAGGATGAGATCGACAGGAAGAAGGCTGAGGTGCGTAAGCGCCTGGAGGAGCAGAGTCTCAAGAAGCAGAAGAAGGGCTTCATGACTCCCGAGCGTAAGAAGAAGCTCAGGGTAAGTGTTCAGTCTTCGGTTTTATACCATCTTAGATTTAGCGCTTCCCCATGAATATAATAATAAAATACCCCCTTCTTAGCGTGGTTGCTATGACATGACCTCCCTTTAAGGGAGTTCTAAGGAACTGAATCAATCTTGATAACCTACTCTTCCCCATGTTTTATGTAAACCCTTTAGCTTTAACGCTTCCCAGTGGATATAATAATTTTATTTTTTATTTGAATTTTACAATTATTTTAGTTTGTAACTAGGTTCAACTTGGTGAAATCTAAGCATGAAGGCATTAATATACGAAAAAAAGAATATATTATCAAACCCTGGACTTGAAACAGGACTTGACCCGCTGATCTTCTTTTAAACAGCTGCTCCTTCGTAAGAAAGCTGCTGAGGAACTGAAAAAGGAACAAGAGAGAAAGGCAGCTGAGAGACGCAAGATCATTGACCAGCGCTGCGGCCAGCCCAAAAACCTCGATGGTGCTAATGAAGGTACACACACAGTTGGGGAGAGAAAGGAAGGGTGAGAGGATGAGGTAGAAGATGAAAAATTAAATTGCGTGGGAAGGAAAGGTGAACACGAGAAGAAAAGAGCCCGGTTAACATAGATTTTATCACGGAAGTAGACATTGTGGGACGCAGAAAAAATGGGAATAGGTATGATGGGAGAAAGTGAGGACAAATAATGGCAAGGAGGAGCACGTGCAGAAAGGCGGAAAAATTCAAGACGACACATGAAAGACGAAAAACATGGGAGAGACAAGCAGAATGAAGAGTAAGACATGTGTAACACACGTATCTTCATTATCGAAACGTTACCCCTGCCCATTGGTTCTATCCAGAAGAAGCAGGATGTGTAGGCCAAACTTTTTGATACTAAATATACCAAAGTGTTGCACATGTGTCTTGCTCATTAATTGTCGGTATTGTATACCATTTATATTATGAAGTAGATGAAAAAACACATGTATGAATACATATGTAAAGGCAGCCATCGCAGAAATGCAGCTTGTAAAATAAAAAAATAAATGTTGATTAAAAATAATAAATAATAGAAAATCATGGAAAGCTATGGTAGACTAGGTATACAGATTTTGCTATTCATGTTATTAGTACTGGGAAAATAATACCTGGGAATCTAGATGAAATGGATATACAGTTTATCAATCCTAGGAAAAGAATTAACATGTTGGGACACCAAAGGCAGATTTAGGTAGGCTTTTTATAATATGAAGGAAATTTTTAAGGGTGTAATCTGATTAGCAGATTTAACGATATGAGTTAATTCAGTGAGAAAAATAACTCATTTCTGAAATGCAGGGGGAAATTTACTAAGTAACTTTTCAGTACTGTGCCAATTTTGTGAAAATAACTACTTTGCCCTTCAGAAAAAGGTGGAGAGGATGACAAAAAGGACCAGAGAAGCAGAAACAACAGCTGTGAACTTCATGTGTTGTATACATGTGTAGCCATATAGATCATGTGTGCACTCACATAACACACACACACACATACATACATACCAAATGTCCACAAGTGTGTATGTATCCATGAATGTTACCCTTTACGGTGCGTACACCGACACCTATGATACAAAGGCGCACACACATACTGTACATAACATTTACAGGTCACTCAATCTTATACTGACAAATGTGACAGTAAAACAACACAACACTAAAATCACCTGAATACCAACCCCCTACTCAAAAAAAAAAAAACTAAAAATAGGCTTGCCAAAACCTAAATATAGGTTAGTTAAATAATTTTGAGTAAATTTTAGAAACTTAATGCTAGACTCTGTGTTCGTTTTGGTGCAAGATAAATAATTGGCATAAAACATATTTGTGTAACTATGTTCCACTGTTTTTTGGGATGACCCTCGTGTAGTTAATATGCTTCAACCTTCATTAACCAACCGGTATGTAACTCGCTTTGTAATGACATTTAAAATCAAAACTCGATTAAAATGAGATAGGCAGTTTGATAACAATCTACACTCACCTCTGAAAGGTTTTAACGTAGGCGATATACGAGTCTTGCGAGTTTAGTGCTTCCCTATTAATATAATAATACTAAGAAAGTATTCACTGGAAATCTTCTAGAATTAATAGCAGAGAGAACAGAAAGACATTTTTAAACTATGAGAAAGTGAAATATTTACAGATACAACAGCTACTTACTGAAACCCACACACCACCCACCTACTTACTGAAACCCACACACCACCCACCTACTATGCTGTAAACCCACATCACAACCACCCACCACTATGCTGAAACCCACACCACCACCACACCACCCTACTTTACTGAAACCCACAGCCCACCACTAATTACTAGAAAACACAACACTCACCACTAATGCTAGAAACCGACACACACCCACTACTTACTGAAACCCACACACCACCCACCTACTTGCTGAAACCCACACACCACCCACCTACTTACTGAAACCCACACACCACCCACCTACTTGCTGAAACCCACACACCACCCACCTACTTACTGAAACCCACACACCACCCACCTACTTGCTGAAACCCACACACCACCCACCTACTTACTAAAACCCACATATCACCCACCTACTTACTAAAACCCACATACCACCCACCTACTTACTGAAACCCACACACCACCCACCTACTTACTGAAACCCACACACCACCCACCTACTTACTAAAACCCACACACCACCCACCTACTTACTAAAACCCATACACCACCTGTGGATTTTTGTGCGAACTGTCTCTTAACGTGCGGGAAATTTAGCTAAAACTGCTGACACAGACATCCCGAGACATTAACTCAGGTGCGCCAGTGGCTCGTGCAAGAAAATTCCACATAACAGTGACGTAAGAATTGTAACGGCAGAGTCAACTTACTTGAAGGGAGGGCTACACTTCCATACTCTTGTACCTCAGTAATGACAGGTTTCTGTACATCCCAGCAACCTTTCTCATCACGCTTCAGCAGAAAAATTGGCCACTAATGCTGACAGAAACGTAAGCAGTTCGCTGGGGCTTGTCTGGGTGCTAGACGGTATCCTCGGTGTTTGAGGAGGCTTCGTTGTTCTAGTACTTCCTCTACGCAAGTTTTGCTGATTTTCTGGCTGTTGACGCGTCACTCCAGATCTCGATGGAATCTGAGCTTCAACTGCTCTAGCTGGCATCTTCTGACTGACTCACGAAATCGTAATGAAACGATTGTAAACAAGCCATTCCACTGGTGGGGTTAGAACCCGCGATCAGAGAGTCTCAAAACTCCAGACTATCGCGGGTTCTAACCCCACCCGTGGTATGGTTTGTCTTCTAACTGACTTCGTTCGAATTCGAAACTGCCAGTTCTCTAATTTTACTATAGTAACCCAATCCTACCTATTTTAGGTCCTAAAACTGTATTAATAATTCCTACGCTTATTTTCTACTTTGTGTAACTACGTAAATCTTCCTAGGAGGACAAACATTATATACAAATGTTATGTAAGTTTGTAAAGCTTATACGTACTACAAAACGTTTCATGGAATATTTTGGTGGCCCAGAATAATTTCCACACCACCCACCTCATCACACACGTGCTCACACCTGCACACCACACGCCTGCTCACACCTGCACACCACGCGCCTGCTCACACCTGCACACCACGCCTTCTCACACCTGCACACCACGCGCCTGCTCACACCTGCACACCACGCCTTCTCACACCTGCACACCACGCCTTCTCACAACTGCACACCACGCGCCTGCTCACACCTGCACACCACGCCTTCTCACAACTGCACACCACGCGCCTGCTCACACCACACACCACCCACGTACACGTCAACCCACACCTCACTAACACCCTCACTATGAAAGGTGGACAGAAAATTTCCCAGGCGAGTGTGGCAGGTGAGACTACATTCAACACCGTCTCCCAGAGTAATACATAAATGAACACAATATTTCTCCTCATCTATGTGCACACTACATTCTTGACTGGATGAGCATGTATGTATGCTGTCACCATATGCTCACATATTTGATCACCATTTTGTCGTACTCAGTCACCAGTTGGTCATACGGGGTCACTACTACATGTATCTATATAACCACTTGGTTGCAGTCACAATTCGAACGTATGTAAATGCCACTTTGCTGAATGAAGTCACCAAGTTGGTCATGCGATGTCATGAGAGGTCACGCGGTTAATACTTTATGTTATTTTGTTACTAGGTATCGGTGATTTATTGTAAAATTGTAAACTAATCGTTTTCCCTATTTATGAATTACTCCGTTTTTTTTTTGACGGATCTTATTTGATAAGGAAAGTAAATCAAGAATTGATGGCTTTTTCGACCCAACGGATCATTTTGAATTTTATAAAATGGATTTCGTATTTGGTTCATCCGACCAATTTTTCCAGGCAAAAGATGACCGTTTTCGAAAGCCTATTGGGTTGTATTTATGATGTAAATAGATGTTCAGATATGGGTATTTCTTCAATTGAAGACTGACGTCTAAAGGGATATATGTGGTGAGGAATTTTTCCACCAGGAGAACTACTTGTAATTTGAACACTTATTATTAAGGTTTTGTTAATAGACATTAACCATTAGTAGGTATTTGCTTACAAAGGAGATTTATTTTACTCGGAGACGTGTAAGTTTAGACACTCAATTGATTTTGGTATCCTGATTTTTTTATTATATTTTTTCAGATGGAGATTTTTATCACTAATATTTACAATAACTCGTTATAACTATTAAATAATTAAATAATTTTTTAAATTAAAATAACGAAAGCCACTTTTTTCGATAATTTTATCAGCAAAGTTAACATTAAATACAATTAAAATTAGCAGTTGGTTAAATCCGGTAACTCCAAATAAATTTTGGAGTAAAAAATTGGTAATTTCATTTTTTAGAAAACACTAACAGTTAACTGAATAAACTTTACTGTACAAAATTCTTTCGCTCTTTCTTTTCTCAAGTTAAATACGGTACAAAATTATTTTGCTCTGCTGCAAGATGTCATAGAAGACGAACATCAACCTTATCCCGCTGCGGAACCACTCACAACCCTCTCATCTGATGCCTAGCATTTCTCAAATTTATTTTGGTTTTGATCGCTTCCGCACCTGAGATATACGGGAACAGGTGTGTGTATGTGACTCTCCCCGCTTCTCGGGCTCCCAGTTGTTGAACAGTTCCCACTTAATTCTCCCTCAACAGACCAGCTCCGTGCTATTATTAAAGAATACTTCAATCACGTCGCCGAGATTGAGAGCGGGAAATATGATGTGGAGATGGAGATTATCCGCAAGGACTACGAGGTTTGTATGGTTGGATGGGCCCCTATCAACTATCCCTCAACCAACCACCCTCTACCAAAACTACCCACCCTATACCAAAATGTTCTGCCTTCACCAACCATTTTTTTTTTTTTTTACGTTTCCCTTGTGCAGTCGTTAATGGTTGGATGGTTGGTCGAGTGGCAAGGACTAGTGGAAGGGGTAGGAATTGATATGAATGTTGTCACCTTCAACCTTCATTCAATCTTCCAGTCCCACAGTAAACACCGAATGTGCTCTCTCTCTCTCTCTCTCTCTCTGTATATATTTTTAGTGCACTTTTTGTTGGTATCTATATTTTTTCGACCTCTTTCTTTAAATATTTTTTCCGCTTGTAACCCGACTGCTCAGCGACGATGGTATACCAGTTGACCGAGTGTGAACCTTCAGAGTGCCGTTAAGTAGCCAAGTACCAAATCATGTGACCTTTTTGAGTATGATTATAATTTTTTTGGCCTTGTTATTTTGAGTTCGAGTGTTGATATTAGCTGAGAAGCTATTGTTTATTATTTTATAGACTGTTTATTCCCCACCACCTCCATCCCCCTTGCATTGATTCCACCACCACCACAACCACCACCACCTGCCTGCACTGGACATCAGAACTCCAACATACGTGTGTAGCTATGTGTGTGTTTGTGACTATCTGTATGTTTGCCTGTCTCTTTGTGTTTCCAGAGACCATCGCGTTGGAGGTGTTTGAAGCAACGCCGTACTGTCACCATCCTGTCAAAAATATATAAAAAATGGGGGTATTTCACCCCTAATTGTAGTTTCATTTTCTGTTTATAGCTGAGCTTGAAAAACTGTGTAGGGCATTCCATACTCGCATTGAAGGCCTTGAGGGTGACAAATGGGATCTGGAGCACCAGATCAAAATGAAGGACTATCAGGTAACAGCGAGGGGCTGGCAGTGGTGCCTGGCTCTCTAGTGCACGCTGGCTACCGCTCTGGGCTGTCACTGGTCTCCTGTCAGCTGTTAGTAGTGTGGCCAACACTCAACACCCCAGGGACCTTACCATAACCAGTGGCCTATAGTAATTCTCTTCCCTTCCAGGCTGTTTCTTATGGAGGGTTTCACTTCATCCATAAATAGTTATTCATTCCTAAGATATCACTTTATCATGATATCACCCCAAAATTCATCGTATTGCCACCCATTAGTTATGGCTAAATTTAAATTCGATATTCATATGTATGTATGTTTTACCTGTTGTGCTGCTTTCCTTTTTCACGAGAGCCTGTGGGCTCGCTTCTCTCATACCTTAACGAGACATTCTATTATAGACGCACTTAGGGAAATCTGCAAGCAATACCACGAGCGTTTGTTCCTTTGCGAGTCCCAGAAATGGGACCTTGAGTATGAGGTTCGCAGGAGAGATTATGAGGTACAGTGGGTCGGCCTCCAGTCGAAGTGTCAGTAGTGCTGTGTGACTACCACGGCTTGACCAGCCCTGGATCTTATCTTCCCGCCCCTGTCTGGCCCTCCTTCCTTCTCGCTCGTCCGCCCGCCCGCCCGTCCGCCCGTCCACCCGCAGCAGTACCAAGAAAACCACCGCCCTCCACACCCACCCACTTTCCGTCGCATCGATCACTTTGCTCACTGCCTCTTCCCCCACCCACCCAACTCATGGGACATTACTACCAACTGTTCCTGAAATCTTGTTCTCTGGCTGTAGTTCAGTAGTAGATAGAGTAGCGCGGAGTGAAGTAGATGTTAGAGCAAACCCGAACACTTGCCTCCTCCACTACTGGTAGATATGTATGAAGTGCACACTCATCGGTAGCAGGAGTTGACCAACATATGCTCGCTCCGCCTCATCCTGCTGCTGCTGTTGCTGCTACTGCTGCTACTACTACTACTACTACTACTACTGCTGATGTTGCTGCCGTTGGCCCTGCTGGAGGGGCTGGCGCCAAGGATCGAAGGCCCCAGCATCCCCCTCCTACCCGCCAGCACCACTACTGCTACTTTCAGTACTACTACTACCAACACCATCCCAACCCACCCTTGCACCCTAGTATATACAACCTTAGTAAACTCACGCTTTGTAAACACGCTTAGTAAATTCACGCTTTAGTGCCTTGTAAATAATCAGTGGACCAATCAGTGCGCTGTGGTGGTCTGCATCATAGGGTGATGTACACCAATGCAGCTGAGTGGCCATGTGTACACTGGCCTGCTGTGCAGTCCCGGTACTCTGAGGTGCACAGCAACCTTTAGAGGACCCCGAATGCGCGAAAGAGACCACCAAGTGTATTTATTGGTCGCTGCGTACACAGTGAAAGCCTTTATAATGGAATCGCTGTGCTAGTCAGTGGAAGTCCTGTGTTGTCTCCGTGTTATTGTTCCGTCGACATACCAGTCTTGTGTGCCTCTTTAACGCCAGGGCTAAAATGCTTGGTCGTAGCTGCCTTCACTCTCCTTGTGTTAGAGAGATGCCTCAACCGTGGCAAGTTTCAAACTAAGATTTTTGTATATATTTTTTTTAATTTCTCTGTATACTTTTTAAGAATATACACGCACTTTTTGTATAGCTTTTCCATGTTTACCTAAGTAGATACTAAAACATTCACTGTTGCCAAATAATAATTATAAAAAGTCCCACTTTAGTGGTGATCTGTAAGAGTAGAAGAGTGTAGTTAGAGCAAGGGGCCAACGCGGTTGGTATCTGGTAGTCCAGCCCGCACTCTACGACCCTCTGCTGGTAGTTCCTGACGAGGAGGCCTACTGCTGCTCTCCCTCAGGTGATAAGTCTCACTTAGGGCTCTAAGGGCCGAGGGCTGCACCACCAGGTAACACAGGCGGTGTGCGTAGGTCGGTGTCCCATAGCGCCAGGGATAAACGAAATCAACAAGGTCCCAAACGCACGTTCGACTCCCAATTTTCAAGAGGCATCAATTCTCTTATTATTATTATTATTTTGACTAACTTCCAATGCTTTGTGCAAACAACATAATTGCAGTTTTTCTTAAAAGTATCTTCGTTTTGCTTCCCATTCTCTTGTTACTTGTCCAGGGCTGGGCAAACCGTTTGTTGAGCTTAATGGTACCACACGTTAGCTGCGGAGGGCATTTACTAATTCCCAAGACCCTCCAATGTATATTATAGCTGAGTCCTTAGGTGTAGGACGAGCCCCCTCGAAGAGGGTTCTATGCCTCCTCCCTCGCTTGCTAACCGAACAGCTGGTAACCATTGCATGTCTCCTCTACCACTAGCGACGGGTGCTGAGAGGGGGCCCTCGCTACCCCTTGGGGGCCCCCTCTTGAGCCCCAGTTTAACCCCTTCTAGCGTGACCCCTACCTGACCTGGCACCGTGTGAGCAGTCCCCAGGGCAGCACGCGGCCCGCTCAGGTCAACCCAGCTCCCCATGTATGGCACTTCATACTCAGCACACCCGCCAAAGGCCAACTTTCACTTCACTGTCAAGCATTACCCTTCCTCTTCGTTTTTTTTTATCTATAGATTTTCCTCACCTGCATTTTTTATTTTTGAATGACATTTGCATTTATTTTGCAAAACCTTTTTTTTTTTTTTTGTTGAGTTTTCACCTGTGATACGGGCATAAAAGAATTTTTTTGGACAATAGCCTACCTGTCCCGAAAAAAAGGAAGTTGTGTAAGATTTTCACATGCAACCAGACAACAGGTAAAATATACAAAAATAAATACGGAAGTGCCATACACTGTTGAATTCCTCCATAGAAGCAGGCCTGGGTATCGTCTAGAACCTTCCGCACTTGTGCGAAACCTGGGTAACTGTATTGGTTTCCGCCTCCCTGGGGACTTTTGTAAGGACCAGCAGAGTGCTCCGTGTTCATAGCTGATAGTTTGCCAAGATCACTTCCTCTAAACTCTCCTCCCCTCGCTCTCCAGCTCCTGAGATACACTTAAACGAGGACCAAAAGTCACAATACTGTGCCTGGATTTTTTACAACTAGCCCACAAATGAGATGCCAGCAGTAAAAAAATCAAATGCCGACTCGAGTGATCTTGGACAAGGCTGCAACTGTTTAAGAAACAAAACAATTTTTCAGAGGTTTTTAATGAGCCATTGAGGGATTACATCACATACGACCCGTGACAAGCTATTTTCCAAGCTGAGTGAATTAAAAGTAAACGAAAGTTGGATTTTACATTAGCATTCGTGAGTGAGAAAGAAAATTGGAAGAAAACTAGAAATCTAGTCAGGGTATAGAGGTGACCTTGACTGTCTCATCTCCCAGTGCTCTGACATGACTTCTGGATTTTCTTAGCTTTTCTTGCGAATTGATAATGGCCCAGATTGACCGAAGTGTCTTTCACTTTTCATTTTCGGTTTGTGGGTTAGTTGTGAATACTTAACGACATAAAATTGTGTATATTACAACGAGAAATTTTCAGACACGGACAGGTTTAGAATGGGGGCCGGTCTCGGCGTTCTATCACATATGGACACGGCTAAGAAAAAGCCAATCTGCTCTTTCTTGAGCCAGTCCTGGTCCCGCCATACCCAACCTTAAATAACCTCGGATATTTAGAGCCACTAATCAGAACACGCAACTCCCTACTTGGTGGCAGATGGAGTGACTAACAGCAGAATTCTAGATTTTACAGACCGCTTGAAGCAGAAATTCTTACCGCTGAAAGAGGCATGGGGCTACACAGGCAGTGTGGGCAAGGGGAGAGACCCCACACCACGCACTCTTTTAGCCTAGCACAGATTAAAATTGAAACGTAGTATTAATTCAGGCAGGAAACTTTAATTCGACATCGTCAGTTCATCAATAAATTCTACAATTTATTAATTACACTGGCGGATCATCCACCCAGAAGGACAGTGTACTGGTTTGGTTGGAACAAAAAAATCTGTATCACTAGTTGGACCAACCAGACGCCTTGAGCACTCTAACTACTGTTGGCTAAATAACGCCCATTAACTGCCCTTGGATCATCTCAAGGTGTCGCATTAAGCTCTCCTGACTGTCTTTAGTGTCCTCCTATCCCCAATCTTGAAGGAAAGATTGGAAATAATATTGATACATTAAACCAACCAACTTGAAGACTTCATTTTGATCCCATGTCCTATCAGCGGGACTGATAAAACTAAAGGCCTTTAAAAAGCTTTTCTGGTCCCTACTCTTATCTGTTAATATTTCAGGTTTTTCATCTCCCTTGGTATGTTTATGTTGGGTTATTATTATTATCATTATTATTATTATTTACTTTATTTTCAAGACTGGGAAGGAGATTAGGATATATATATATTTTTAATGTAGCATAGCAAGTGTACCGCTGCAACTGTAGATGTGGGAAGTTTTGTAGTGGCCTATAGAATACCTAATGCTGTCTAAGCTAAACTTTGCAGTCTTGCCGTAGAAAGCATATTAAAAGATACAGAAATTAAATAAAAAGTGAAGATGGTGAAAGAAAAAAATATTTTGAGTTTTTGGGAAAAAATCACCCTTTTTTCAAGTGATTTTTATTTTAAAACCCTTTTTAATATCTACGTGAGACTTTAGATATATTTTAATTTTTTTGACCTCACTCCTTGACCCATTTTTTTGATCGTCTTTATTTTATATATTTGATTTTATTCCTATTTTTAAGTCTTTGTGACATGTCGAAATATAATTTTAATTTCTACTCCTCTGTATCTTTTAACTATTTCTGACTCTGCTAACAATCACCGTGTTGTGTAATATTTGTCTTAATATATTATAGTTTGAATTTATATCGTATTTCTCATATTTAAGTTCAATATTATTTTGTCATATTTTCAGTTAATATAGTAAAAGAATTTCCGATCAATATCTCAAAATATTTGAAATATAATGAAAAAATTTAAGCAATAGTTTTTACTTGGCTTTCATGCAGTTTACCATGTTTAAAGTCACTTTTTTAATGCTTGTCGTTCAAACTCTTGTGACGCAGGCTCTGGCATAGCTTGATTTATTTTAAATATAACCAAAACCTTACTACTAGCACTTTACTTGATATTAATAGTAACCATCACTAGGAGGAGAAGGAGTGAAGGAAACATGTTATGTCTTGGAGATATAACAGACACTCGGCAACACCACACTCATAACAAATGTATTTAACTCATTTTTCCCTCACCATCACTATTGTATATATATATATATATATATATATATATAATATATATATATATATATATATATATATATATATATTATATATATATATATATATATATATATATATATATTATATATATATATATATATATATATATATATATATATATATATATACATACATATATATCGGTGTTCAACCCTCCTATAACACAACTGTATTACAAAATATTTTCTCTTTCAATTAAATCCATAATATTTAACCGAAACTTTTCAGTCATCTTACAGACGATAAACTTTGCCCCCATAAATCCCTCAGAACAAACTACATGCATTTTAATCATGTGTTAACTGAATTCCTGCATCTTCTAGATCAACGAACTCAACATTCAAGTCAACGATCTGCGTGGCAAGTTGTAAGTATCTATATCTAATTCATTTTTGGTCCATTCGTGTAATTACATAAACACGCCATTAATATCATCTAATATATATATATATATATATATATATATATATATATATATATATATATATATATATATATATATATATATATATATATATATATATATATATATATATATATATATATATATATATATATATATATATATATATATATATTATATATATAATATATAGGGAGGTACCACCTCTAGAACTGTCATAGGGACCCTCATCCTCAGAGAAAAGAATAAACTTGCTTCAGGGAAAACTCAAGG